TATTATCCCGGCGCCTCCACCATTTTTTCGGAGACAATTCAAAGTTATAAAAATTGACTCAAAAGGGAGTCATTCTTGTGCAAATTCTTCCAGAATCATGAATCTCGACTTACATTTCCAATTTTCTTCAAATCACAAAGGAAATGTGTTCTTCGGCAAAAAATTCACTTTAGACAAAATTGGTCATAACGAAAATCGTCGTTTATTTTGGATCAAATTTGTTCTCGATTATTATTTACTTTTGGTATCAAGATTGTCGAAAAAATTAACAAATTTTTGTTAAAGGCATTATTTCAAATGAAATAGATTTAAAATTCTGAAATTATATATAACATTTATTTTGATTCAAATCTTTTGTTGATTGTTATAGGTATCAGAGTTGTCGAACGAATGACAAATTTTCGTTCAAGACGTTTTTTCAAATAAAATATATTTAAAATTCTAAAAATAAGTATATGTAATTTAAAAAGTATTGCCTCGGCGCCTCCACCATTTTTATAGGGAACATTCAAAGTTATAAAATTCACTCAAAATGGAGTTATTCTTGTGAAAATTCTTTCAGAGTTACAAACTTCCACTTATGTTTCCATTTTTTTTCCAATAACCAAGAAAAATGTGATATCAATTTTTTTTTGGTGTGTATCTGTTCTTGATTGTAATTTTGTTTTTGTATCAGGGTTGTCAAAAATATGAACAATTTTTTGTTAAGAGCATAATTTCAGACAAAAGAAATTCTGAAAACATGTATAAATGAAAAAAAAAAACTAACCCTGCGCCTCCACCATTTTTATGCAGAAAATTCCAAGTAACAAAAAAATGACTCAAAAAGGAGTCATTCTTGCGTGAATTATTTCAAAGTCATAAACTTCGACTTCTTTTTTCAATTTTTTTCAAATAATAAAAAAAAATGTGTCCTGCAGAAAAAAAAAACACGTACGTACAAAATCGGTCCCAATGAAAGTCGCCATTTATTTTGGTTCAAATATGTTTCTGTTTGTTGTTTTCTTTAAGTATCAGTGTGGTTAAATGATAGCACAGTTCCTCCTTAAGAGCATAACTTTATGTAAAATGTATTAAAGATTCTGGAGTTACCCTAACAAAAAATATCCTGACGCTTCCATCATATTTACGCAACAAAATAGATATTGATCGAATCGGTCCGAATGAACATTGTCATTGATTTTAGTTCAAATCTGTTCCTGTTTCTTATTTTCTTTTGGTATGAAGATAATTACAAGATGCTTCATATAAAATATGTGAAAAATTCAGGCATAGATAAATGTAAATTAAAAAAGTGGTACATTATCCCGGCGCCTCCACCACTTTTATTTTACAAATTAAAGGTGGTAAAATTGGTTCAAAAAAGCGATTCCTGTGAAAAATTCTATCAGGTTTATGAGCATGTATTTATTTTTCCAAATTTCACAATCAAGAAAAATGCACTTCTATACGAAAAAATTGAATCGATCCGAATTAAAATCATCATTTAGTTCCAATTTGCTCCTATTCGTTATTTTCTTTAAACAATAATGTGGTTAAAGGAATGCTCAGTTTCTTTTTAAGGGCATAATTTTACCTAAAATGTATTAAAAATTCTGAAAATAAGTCTGTATAAAAAAATTATACCCTGGTACTTCCCACATTCCTATGTAAAAATTAAAGTTTGTAAAATTCGTCCAAAAGTGAGTCATTCTTTTTCAAATTCTTCCAGAGTCCCGAACTTGTACATGTTTTCCAATTTTTCGTCAAATAACAATGAAAAATATTTTCTTCAACAAAAAAAAATATGTTACTCGAATCGGTTCGAATCAATCTTAATATTTATTTTGGTTCAAATATGTTGCTGTTTTGTTATTTTCTTTGAGAATTAAGATAGTTAAAAGAATGCACAATTTTTTGTTGAGGGCACTATTTGAAATAAAATATATTTAAAATTGTGGAAATAAATATGAACTGAAACATATATCTTATCCTGGCGCCTCCATCATTTTTATGCATAAATTAATGTTGATAAAATTGGTTCAAAATAGGCGATTCTGGTGAAAAATTCTATGAAGATCATGAACGTCTGCTTATTTTCCCATGTATTATCAAATTAAGCCAGAAAAAGTGCCGCTAAGTCAAAAAATTGCCGTTGGTTGAGTTGATTCGAACGAACATGGTCATTTATTTTAGGTTAAATCTGTTTTTGTTTGTTAATTTTTTTTAAGAATCAATGTGGTTAAAAGAATGCACAGTTTCTTCTAGGCTATTATTTTAATTAAAGGGTACTAAAAATTTTGGAAATAAGTCTATTAAAATAATATATATATCCTGGCGCCTCGACTATTATTCCGTACAAAAAAATTTAAACTTGTAAATTTGGTTTAAAGTGAGGCATTCTTGTTCAAATTTTTTCGGGGTCACGAACTTGTACATGTTTTCCAATTTTTCGTGAAATTACAATGAAAAATATGTTCTTCAACAAAAAAACATATATATTACTCGAATTGGTTCGAATCAATCTTAACATTTATTTTGGTTCAAATATGTTGCTGTTCTGTTATTTTCTTTGAGAATTAAGATAGTTAAAAGAATGCACAATTTTTTGTTGAGGACACTATTTGGAATAAAATATATTTAAAATTGTGGAAATAAATATGAATTGAAACATACATCTTATCCTGGCGCCTCCACCATTTTTATGCAAAAATTAATGTTGATAAAATTGGTTCAAAAGAGGCGATTCTGGTGAAAAATTCTCTGAAGATCATGAACGTCTACTTATTTTCCCATGTATTATCAAATAAGCCAAAAAAGTGCCGCTAAGTAAAAAAATTGCCGTTGATTGAGTTGATTCGAACGAACGTTGTCATTTATTTTGGGTGAAATCTGTTTTTGTTTGTTATTTTTTTTAAGAATCAATGTGCTTAAAAGAATACACATTTTCTTCTAGGCTATTATTTTAATTAAAGAATACTAAAAATTTTGGAAATATGTCTAATAAAATAATATATATCCTGGCGCCTTGACTATTCTTCCGTACAAAAAAAATTAAGCTTGTAAAATTGGTTTAAAGTGAGGCATTCTTGTTCAATTTTTTTCGGGGTCACGAACTTGTACATGTTTTCCAATTTTTCGTCAAATAACAATAAAAAATATGTTCTTCAACAAAAAAAAAACCAAATTACTCAAATCGGTTCGAATCAATCTTAATATTTATTTTGGCTCAAATATGTTGCTGTTTTGTTATTTTCTTTGAGAATTAAGTAAGTTAACAGAATGCACAATTTTTTGTTGAGGACACTATTTGAAATAAAATATATTTAAAATTGTGGAAATAAATATGAATTGAAACATATATCTTATCATGGCGCCTCCACCATTTTTATTCAAAAATTAATGTTGATAAAATTGGTTTAAAATAAGCGATTCTTGTGAAAAATTCTATGAAGATCATGAACGTCTACCTATTTTCCCATGTATTATCAAATAAGCCAGAAAAAGTGCCGCTAAGTCAAAAAATTGCCGTTGGTTGAGTTGATTCGAACGAACGTTGTCATTTATTTTGGGTTAAATCAGTTTTTGTTTGTTATTTTTTTTTTAAGAATCAATGTAGTTAAAAGAATACACAGTTTCTTCTAGGTGATTATTTTAATTAAAGAGTACTAAAAATTTTGGAAATAAGTCTAATAAAATTATATATATCCTGGCGCCTCGACTATTCTTCCGTACAAAAAAATTTAAGCTTGTAAATTTGGCTTAAAGTAGGCATTCTTGTTCAAATTTTTTCAGGATCACGAACTTGTACATGTTTTCCAATTTTTCGTCAAATAACAATGAAAAATATGTTCTTAAACAAAAAAAAAATCATATTGTTGGAATCGCTTCGGATCAACCTTAACATTTATTTTGGTTCAAATATGTTGCTGTTTTGTTATTTTCTTTGAGAATTAAGATAGTTAAACAAATGCACAATTTTTTGTTGAGGACACTATTTGAAATAAAATATATTTAAAATTGTGGAAATAAATATGAATTGAAACATATATCTTATCCTGGCGCCTCCACCATTTTTATGCAAAAATTAATTTTAATAAAATTGGTTCAAAAGACGCGATTCTTTTGAAAAATTCTCTAACGATCATGAACATGTGCTTATTTTCCCATGTATCATCAAATAATCGGCAAAAAGTGCCTCTAAGTGGGAACATTGACCTGGGTTGAATTTTGGAAATAAGTCTAATAAAAAAATATATATCCTGGCGTCTCCACTATTCTTACGTACAAAAAAATGTAAGCTTGTAAAATTGGTTTAAATTTTTTAAGGGTCACGAACTTGTATCTTTTTTACAATATAATACAAAAAATAAAGAGCTTTATTTCAAATAAAATGGCAAAATTCTCAAAATACATATAAATAAAAAATATTTTTGTGTTTTTTTAAATAAAACATCCTATATATCTTTGGATATTTTGATCGAGCTCTTTTAAGCTTCAAAACCACAGATTATTTTTGAAATTATAATACGACGTTGCCAGGTTATTTAAACTATCTTGAATTTTTTTGAAATAGAAGGTTCGCTCAAAAAAATCAGAGTATGGACATTTTCAAAATTTGCGTTACAACATTTTGTGGAGAGATAAAGGAAGGTATGCGCTTTGTTGTGGTATAAATAAGATTAAATTTTGATATACAGAGTGTTTATAAAAATGTTTTAATTATAACAATTTCAATGTTTTTTGTTCTAAAGTAAGGATATATATTTAAAGATTATGTCGTGTAAGAATAAAAAAAAATTAAAAAATGATTGTACCTACTAAAAATTTTTTAATTAATTCTCAAGCCGACGCTCTACTATTTTTATGCAAGACATTAAAGTTAATGAGTTCTGTCCTTCAGTCTCTTCAAACAACCGAAGAATACATTTTTTCAGAAAAAATATAAAAATAGTACGAAAACGAATTATCGGAAAATTCTTAAAGAACTAAAACATGGAAACCTGTGACGATATGGTTACCTGCGGGAGTTGCGCCTCTGGTTGATGGTTTCCGGACTGAGCAAGTTGGGGTTGTCGCCGCCGCGCGGGATATCCAGGTGATTCCCCGTGATGGACACATCAATCGTGGTGGACCCGGGCGAGGACTCTTTGAGGCACTGCCGCGAGTCGCTGAGGCCGGCGTTGTCCGGAAACGTGGCTATGGGAATTCTGCGTTAGATTTTGTCGGCGGCATTATGACGGGTGCGGAACACGGAAAGCATCTAATTATTGGCTACCAGCCGTGAGGTACTGTCTCACGTACACCACATCGAAAAGCGGAGGATCGAGTGAGTGGCTGACGTGATATGTACAAGTTGGAGCAAAGGTGAACATCTCAAGTGGACACAATAACCCGCGAACCCCACAAATTCGCTAAACCGCCACTCTTTCCCCCGTGATCATCATCACGTCCTTCTTCCGGCTTACACATTCATCATCCCGGAACTAAAGGATTTGTACTTTATAGCCGGAAATATCCGGCACATAATGCAGCTCCTTCGTCTCGAGAGACAAATCTAGTTCAAACAATCCCGCGGATGATGTACGGAATAAAATCATATTTTCTCCGGGAGGGTCGGCGAAATGAAACGTTCCAGGAGACGGGTTCACTTTATTGCATGTTGGAGTTTCAATATGTAAGAAGAATGCTGCAATTCTCGTTTAACTCTTTCACGGAAAGGAATTTGGTGCGAGTTTAAGCCGGCACATGTACAGGTTAACTCACCTTCGGCGGAATGGTAAATGAATGGTTGAAAAGCACCCAAGTTTTTGCTATGAAGGGTAATTTTATCATCTGCATGCTTATCTAACGTTACGGCAGAGAGTTAACAAATTTTTGAGATGAGTGGAGAGTTTGCGTTGGAATTAGAATTCAGTGTGGGAATTTATTATAGATCTCTAAATTTTACAGGGTTTTAAGGACAATTTCGGGTTGTAGGCGAAAGTTTTCCAACTGGTTACAATCGTAGTCATAAAATGGTGCGTCCATAAAAAATGCAATAAAAATGTACTGCATCTACATGTAAGTCATATTTTTATATTTAAAAATTTCAATATATTTAACTGTTTTATCTTACGTGACCCATTTCAACCTGTACGGTAAGTGTGCAGCATGCATTCTAAACTGCACATTACTACACGGAATTTAACCTGTTCTAATTAGCTGCATTTATGCACTTAGTTTCGCGAATTCATGACGTGCATAATATGAGGTACAAATATTTCATAACCATTATTACAGTGCGACACGGACACTTACTCAGAATAATAAGCATTCAGAGAGTTGCGTCATCTCCCAACCAAATATAGTGTATTACATGGTGGTGATTAGTTTTGATCAAGTAGAGCTCTATTTTTACAAAAAACTTATCACGCCATTAACAAAATGGGAACGTCGACTGTTATTTATTGCGGGCTATTTTTTACATCCTGTAATATTTGTAATAATTATTTTGAATCAATTAGGGAAATTTGGTTTTATAAAACACACTGTAATTGTTATTCATAATTTTGTAAAATACGTATTTACATATCTTTTGAACAAAATGCACTCAACAGTAGCTAGTTCTACAACGTGTTTCCTCATCTGCGCTGTTCCATTTGAATAATTGCATAATTGCATTACATTCTAGACGTTAATGAAGATGAAAGCTTCAAGTGCATTAATAACTGAAGTTTTCAGAATTTCATGCATGAAAATGAATTATTCAGGTAATATTTAATATATGCTAACATGCTATTTCAATTTCGGAAAATATATAAAAGCTATTTCTGTCCAATCGTTGCCATAAGATTCGCCATCAAAATTATGTAGAGGTGCTCTGAAACATCCTGTGTCTTAATACGTATAATTATTAAAAGTTGCCTTCGATGTTTTATTTGGAAGATGTAAATTTTCCGGAAAAACATGAATCCTGTCACTATGTTGAAAGCAATACTCAAGTTTCATTTTGTTCAGTTTGCATTTTCTTTAAACATTTCTGTTAATAAAGTGTTAACAATTTAATTAACACGAACTCATTTTGCACAAATTTGACATATTTAAATGTGGAGAAAATTAAAATTTGGAATTTGATGTGATCTGGTTGTATTTCTCTTCATTCAGAAAATGAGATGTTGCGGGAACAGAAAAATTATATTCGGAAGAAGTCTGATAAATGGAAGGAACCTTGTCTAGTTTCTGAAGTAGTTTGGAAAAATCTCGGGTCCCCTTGTGTTTAATTTTCGAAGTAATTTGAAAGATTCCTAACAAATTTTCGGAATTTTCGGTGTTAAATTCTAATTTTTAAAGTATCCCAAAAATTGCCATTTTTAATTTTCGGGGTTCTGGAAAATTGGTTGGAATTTTCAAAGAATTGTTTCCGAAAACGACTTTTGCAAACCAAAATCAACACAAAATAGTATTTGGAAAATTCTGGAATAAAAATAAATATATCATATCGAATATTGATGGTCCCAGACCAAAATTTTCGAAATTTTGAATTTCGAAATCAGATTTTTAAATAGTTCTAAAAATGACCAGATTTTATTTTGATGATTCTGGAAAAGTGCTTATAGATGTTCTCCGGTAATTTTTACAAAGTGCTCGAAAAAAGATTAAAATTTTCATATTATTGAAAATTTGGGGTTTTATTAAAGTTGTCTAAAAATCCACAAGAAAATCTGGAACAAAGACATCGACAAACTGATTCGAGTAACGTAGTGTCCTAGACCAAGATTTTTAAAATTTTCGATTTCGAAAACAAATTTTTAAGTATCCCAAAAATGGTCAGATTTTATTTTGATAATTCTGGAAAAGTGCGTATAATTTTCGAAAAAATATTGCCGAAAAAGTTTTCTATAAGTCGAAGTTAATAAAAAAATGTCTTTTTTGATAATTTTAGAAATTACTCGAAAAATGGACAAAAATTTCATATTATTGAAAATTTGGGGTTTTATTAAAGTTGTCTAAAAATCCACAAGAAAATCTGGAACAAAGTCATCGACAAACTGATTCGAGTAACGTAGTGTCCTAGATCAAGATTTTCAAAATTTTCGATTTCGAAAAAATTTTTCAAGTATCCCAAAAATGGTCAGATTTTATTTTGATGATTCTGGAAAAGTGTGTATAATTTTCGAAAAAATATTGCCGAAAAAGTTTTCTACAAATCGAAATTAATAAAAAAATGTCTTTTTTGATAATTTTAGAAATTACTCGAAAAATGGACAAAAATTTCATATCATTGAAAATTTGGGATTTTATTAAAGTTGTCTAAAAATCCACAAGAAAATCTGGAACAAAGACATCAACAAACTAATTCGAGTAACATAGTGTCCTAGATCAAGATTTTCAAAATTTTCGATTTCGAAAAAATTTTTCAAGTATCCCAAAAATGGCCAGATTTTATTTTGATGATTCTGGAAAAGTGCGTATAATTTTAGAAAAAATATTGCCGAAAAAGTTTTCTACAAGTCGAAATTAATAAAAAAATGTCTTTTCTGATAATTTTAGAAACTACTCGAAAAATGGACAAAAATTTCATATTATTGAAAATTTGGGGTTTTATTAAAGTTGTCTAAAAATCCACAAGAAAATCTGGAAAAAAGACATCGACAAACTGATTCGAGTAACGTAGTGTCCTAGATCAAGATTTTCAAAATTTTCGATTTTGAAAAAATTTTTCTAGTATCCCAAAAATGGCAGATTTTATTTAGATGATTCTGGAAAAGGGCGTATAATTTTCGAAAAAATTTTGCCGAAAAAGTTTCCTACAAGTCGAAGTTAATAAAAAAAAGTCTTTTTCGATAATTTTAGAAATTACTCGAAAAATGGACAAAAATTTCAAATTATTGAAAATTTGGGGTTTTATTAAAGTTGTCTAAAAATCCACAAGAAAATCTGGAACAAAGACATCCACAAACTGATTCGAGTAACATAGTGTCCTAGATCAAGATTTTCGAAATTTTGGATTTCGAAAAAATTTTTCAAGTATCCCCAAAAATGGCCAAATTTTATTTTGATGATTCTGGAAAAGTGCGTATGATTTTCGAAAAAATATTGCCGAAAAAGTTTTCTACAAGTCGAAATTAATAAAAAAATGTCTTTTTTGATAATTTTAGAAATTATTCGAAAAATGGACAAAAATTTCAAATTATGGAAAATTTGGGGTTTTATTAAAGTTGTCTAAAAATCCACAAGAAAATCTGGAATAAAGACATCGACAAACTGATTCGAGTAACATAGTGTCCTAGATCAAGATTTTCAAAATTTTCGATTCCGAAAAAATTTTTCAAGTATCCTAAAAATGGCCAGATTTTATTTAGATGATTCTGGAAAAGTGCGTATAATTTTCGAAAAAATATTGCCGGAAAAGTTTTCTACAAGTCGAAGTTAATAAAAAAATGTCTTTTTTGATAATTTTAGAAATTACTCGAAAAATGGACAAAAATTTCATAATAATGAAAATTTGGGGTTTTATTAAAGTTGTCTAAAAATCCACAAGAAAATCTGGAACAAAGACATCGACAAACTGATTCGAGTAACAGTGTCCTAGATCAAGATTTTCAAAATTTTCGATTTCGAAAAAATTTTTCAAGTATCCCAAAAATGGCCAGATTTTATTTTGATGATTCTGGAAAAGTGCGTATAATTTTCGAAAAAATATTGCGGAAAAAGTTTTCTACAAGTCGAAGTTAATAAAAAAATGTCTTTTTTGATAATTTTAGAAATTACTCGAAAAATGGACAAAAATTTCATATTATTGAAAATTTGGGGTTTTATTAAAGTTGTCTAAAAATCCACAAGAAAATCTGGAACAAAGACATCGACAAACTGATTCGAGTAACGTATTGTCCTAGATCAAGATTTTCAAAATTTTCGATTTCGGAAAAATTTTTCAAGTATCCCAAAAATCGCCAGATTTTATTTTGATGATTCTGGAAAAGTGCGTATAATTTTCGAGAAAATATTGCCGAAAAGGTTTTCTACAAGTCGAAATTAATAAAAAAATGTCTTTTTTGATAATTTTAGAAATTACCCGAAAAATGGACAAAAATTTCATATTATTGAAAATTTGGGGTTTTATTAAAGTTGTCTAAAAATCCACAAGAAAATCGGGAACAAAGACATCGACAAACTGATTCGAGTAACATAGTGTCCTAGATCAAGATTTTCAAAATTTTCGATTTCGGAAAAATTTTTCAAGTATCCCAAAAATGGCCAGATTTTATTTTGATGATTCTGGAAAATTGCGTATAAGTTTCGGGAAAATATTGCCGAAAAGGTTTTCTACAAGTCTAAATTAATAAAAAAATGTCTTTTTTGATAATTTTAGAAATTACTCGAAAAATGGACAAAAATTTCCTATTATTGAAAATTTATTTTTAGTAAAGTTGCCTAAAAGTTCGCAAATAATTCTGGCATATAATCGACGAGCTGAATCCAAAAAAAATGGCGTGTTGATGGTCTCAGGCCAGGATTTTCGATAATTTCGAGATCCCTTGTTTTGTTTTTAAAGTAATTTGAACGAATTTCGGGGACCCCTTGTGTTTATTTTCGAAGTAGTTTGAACGATTCCTTACTAATTTTTCGAATCTTCGATGTTAAAGTTGAATTTTTAAAATATCCCAAAAATGAGTAGGTATATTTCATTTTCGTGGTTGTGGAAAGTTGGTTAGAATTTTCGAAAAAATCTTGCCAAAAACGACTTCTACGAGTCAAAATCAGCACAGAATTGTCTTTAGGTAATTTTCGAAAAAAGTTCACAAAGATCAAAACATGGAAAATTTGGACTTTTTGCCTAAAAATTCACAAAAAATTCTGGAATAAAGATGTCGGAGAGCTGACTGATTCGAAAAATAGCGTGTTGATAGTCGTCAACCAAGATTTCCGACATTTTCAATTTCAAAATCTAATTTTTAAATTATTCTAAAAGGAGAAATATTTTAAAGATTCTGGAAAAGTATTGATCATTTTGGAAGAAAAGTTGCCGACAACGGCTTCTGCAATCGGAATCAACAAAAAACGTCTGCTTAGTAATTTTCCAGTGCTCAAAAAGAAGTCAAAAATTTCAAATTGTTGAAAATTTGGGCTGTTGGTAAAGTTGCCGAAAAATTCACAAAAATTCTGGGAGAAAGAAATCCACGAGCTGATTTGAAAAACAGCATGTTGATAGTACCAGGCCAAAATTTTTGAAATTTTCAATTTCAAACGCAGAAATGGCAATATGTTGTTTCGATGATTCTGGAAAAGTGCTTATATTTATAATATATAATTTTCTGAGAAAAATTACTGAAAACGACTTTTACATGTCGTTTGGTAATAAATTGTTCAGAAAAATGTCAGAAATTTCAAATTATTTATCGAAAATTTGAGGTTTTGGTAGTTGCTTAAAAATTAACAATTCTGTGGTAAAAATGTCTACGAGCTGATTTGAAAAACATAGCATGTTGATGGTCCTCTGAAAATTTTCGAAAGTTTCGATTCCAAAAGCAAATTTTAAAAATTGTAAAATTTTCGATTTCGAAAAAAATTTTTAAATATCCAAAAAATGGCCATATTTTATTCTTATGATTCTAGGAAAGTGTCTATAATTTTCGAAAAAATATTGCCAAAAACGTTTTCTGCAAATCCAAATTAACAAAAAAATGTCTTTTTTGCTAATTTTAGAAAGTACTCAGAAAATGGACAATAATTTCAAGTTATTAAAAATTTTTCCTTTTGAACAAGTTGCCTACAAGTCCGCAAATAATTCTGGTATATAAAAATCGAGGAGCTGATTCGAAAAATATAGCATGTTGATGGTCTCAGATCAAGATTTTCGTGAATTTCGAGATCCATTGTCTTGTTTTTGAAGTAATTTGAAAGAATTTAGGGGACCTCTTGTGTTTAGCTGTTGAAATAGTTTGAAAATATGTCGGGGACACATTATGTTTGATCTTTGAAGTAGTTCGAAAGAATCTCGAGGACCCCTGCCTGGTTTTTGGGATAGCTTGAAAGACTATCAGCAACCTCTTCTGTTTTGTTTTTGAAGCGGTTTGAAAGAATCTCGGCGGCTACTTTTGTTTTGTTTTTGAAGTAGATTTAAAGAATCTCGGGGACCCCTTGTGTCTGATCTTTGAAGTAGTTTTAAAGAATCTCAGGGACTCGTCGTGTCTGGTTTTTGAAGTAGATTGTAAGAATCTCGGGGACTCCTTTTCTTTTGTTTTTGAAGTAGTTTCAAAGAATATCGGAGACCCCTTGTGTCTGATTTTGAAGTAGTTATAAAGAATCTCAGGGACACGTTGTGTCTGGTTTTTTAAGTTGTTTGAAAGAATCTCGGGGACTTTTTATGCTTTTTTTCTTGAAGTAGATTTAAAGAATCCCGGGGATCATTTGTGTCTGATTTTTGAAGTAGTTTTAAAGAATTTCAGGAACTTGTTGTATCCGGTTTTTGAAGTAGATTGAAAGAATCTCGGGGGCTAATTTTGTTTTATTTTTAAAATAGTTTGAAAGAATCTCGGAGACCCCTTTTATTTTGTTTTTGAAGTTGTCTGAAAGAATCTCGGAGACCCCTTGCGACTATTTTTAAAGTAGTTTTAAAGAATCTCAGGGACTCGTTGTGTCTGGTTTTTGAAGTAGTTTGAAAGAATGTCGAGGGCTATTTTTGTTTTATTTTTGAAGTAGTTTTAGAGAATCTCGGGGAGCCCTTGTGTTTAATTTTTGAAGTAGTTTTAAAGAAACTCGGGGACTCCTTGGGTCTGGTTTTTGAAGTAATTTGGAAGAATCTCAGAGTCTCATTATCAAGGACTGCTGCAAGGAATATTGATTTCATGTCAATGGGAATTGATTTGATGCAAAGAGGGAGTAAATAATCACAAATAGAAGCTGAATGATTTCGAAATGAAACGGTAGTATCTTGAACTGAAACTATTTAATACGGTAGTTAATTCCACCAATTTCAACTAAAAAATCTCTTTAATAAATTTGCTCCAAGAAAAATCGTGGTAAAGTTTGAGAACAAACACATGTTCTTCAGTAAAGATGGTCATAAAACTAAAAGGGGTGAAATATGGCAAACATTTTTCTCTAAATCGAACTGCAATGCGCAGCAGCATCAATTTAAAATCAGTCTCAAAAATAGAGTCATGAAGTTTAGTAATAACAAACTGGCCTTATTGAAAGCAGTTTTGAGGATTAGGCTGGCAAAGGAACTCGTTTGACGGTTCAGAAAGAAGTTTAAATTGCCTAACATATATTGATCAGTTTCAACCGACAGTATTGTGTATCCCTAAGAATATAAATGCATTAATTTATTACTAATTGTTATTATTATTATTATTATTAATAATATTATTATTGTATCAGACTCGCCATGAAGAACAAAATACAATAGCTAAAACGATTGCGGTAAAATTACTGCGACGAAAAATCAAAACTATACATAATATACTTAGGAAAAGAAAGCCACTAAAGAAAAAAATAAAACGATCTCACCAAATCCAATTTTCTGTGATACGGTCACGTGTGTGTAAAAACACACCAATTTAGAAAACTTCCACGTGTGTGTAAAAACACACCAATTTAGAAAACTTCCACACTGATAATTTTCCTACACCTGGAAACGCAAGTTCTCCACTTGCCAAATCCGACACCAGCATACAAAAAATGCTAGAACATGCGCGACAACACTCACTGACACAGGTGGGAACTTGCAGAATTAGTTGAGGAGGGCCGGTACCGTCTTTGGTGGCGGGCGCAGGAGCCTTCTCCTCCGCCGTGACGATCACAGGCTCAGTGGAAGTATTATTGTTGTTGCCCTGCTGCTGCTGGTTGGCCACCGTGAACGACGAGTTCTCCTCCTTGGTGATGCTCATGTAGTAGCACGTGTCGCTCTTCTTCATGATGTGTCTAGGCCCCGGGTTCAGCAGGATGGTGTCCTCGTAGAACTCGGGCAGTTCTGCGGGACGCACTCCTACCAGCGCGACTCCGTATCTAAAGAACAGATTGCGAGTTTTCGGTTTTTAAAGATTACGAGGTCAACAAATTCGTATGATTCGAATGGGAATGGGGTGAGTGAGGTTGGGTTGCAGCAGTTCGTCTTGGTGGAAGGAGGGTTAAGATGGGGGAGTGCTGTGTCGGGGGTTGTAGGGAAAAAGAGTAAATTTACCTACTTTCTGTGCGAGTGGAAGCTGGCGTATGTGAAGCTCTTGCCTTCGTATTCGCCGAAGAAGCGGCTGTCGCCGAGGACTATGTGGTAGATTTCGTTGCCGGAGCAGCGGCCGTAGAGGCGGTGCCATTCCTCTGCAGACTGCTGGCCTTCTCTGGAAATAAGGAGTTTCTAAGTGGATACGTCATTTTCAACATTCTTAATTGAAGGAGTGCACAATGTAATTGTTACTATTTAGGAAATTCTGAACATGGATTCGTATTCAGGAGGTAAAAAACTAGCAACTGCACCAAATTTCAGAAGTCTCCCTTAACGAATAAAAAATTAGAAACTCATTTCTCACAAAACATTTTTCCAGTTTATCACCATTTCAAAACGGTGCAAGAGTACGACTTCCAATTTATGTTATTCGATTCCGCTGTATTTTTTTTACCAAAGGGAGTGACCCTTAACCGGATAAGTTACTCTTTTTGCCTTTAGAGACTGATAAGTCGGACGATTTAATTTTTCTAAAGGTACTAACACAAAAAAAAAATACTGGAAGCACCACAAGTCAATTTTGAACCCAGATTCTTGTCCAGGACGTGCGAATTAGTAAGTACACTAAATTTCAAGAGTATCCCTTACCGAAATTAGTACCATAATAACATAAAAGTCAAGCAAGCTTTCTCACAAAAACATTTTTTTTTAAATATTGAGCTCACGGCTTCAAAACGATGCAAGTGTTCGATTTACAGTTTACAGTTTACAGTAATTTAGTATTTTGAGCTGAGAAACAGATAAATCGGACGATGCCATTTTTTCTAATGGTATACTGACATAGACAAAACAAAAAAGTCAGGAAGCTCGGCAGCTCAATTCTTAACACAGATTCTTATTCAAGGGGTACAAATTAGTAAGTACAGCAAATTTAAGGAATCTCCCTTATCTAATAATAAAATTAGTACCATAAAAGCCATATGTCGGTAGAACTATCTCACAAAAAATATTTTTCGAATTTATAGGCTCACCATTTCAAAACGGTGCAAGTTCTCTATTTTCACATTATAGCATTCGATTTGTCCAAGTCTTTTCATCACAGAAAGTGACTCTTCAGACCGGATAAATTATTCTTTTGAGCTGGAGAGTCCGATAAATCAGACGATGTCATTTTTCTAAAGATACTTAAATCGAGAATGGACAAAATATTTAGGAAGCTCCGCCGAGCAATTCTGAATGCGGATTCGTATTCAGGGGGTGCAAATTAGTGAGGGTAGCAAATTTCAAGAGTTTCCCTTACCAAATAAGAAAATTAGTACCATAAAAGCTATACGTTAAGCGAGCTTTCTTACTAAAATATGCTTTGAGTTTATAGGATCACCATTTCAAAACGCTGCAAGTGTTCGACTTACCGTTTACAGCATTCGATTCCCTTGAGTTTTTTATTACAGCAAGTCGTATTTTAGCCGAGATAATTTAGTCTTTTGGGCTGAGAAACAGATAAATCGGACGATGCCATTTTTTCTAAAGGTATACTAACATATAGAAAAAACAAAAAATTCAGGAAGGTCCACAGCTCAATTCTTAATGCGGATTCTTATTCAAGAGGTAGAAATTAGTAAGTACAGCAAATTTAAGGAATTTCCCGTATCTAATTAGAAAATTAGTACCATAAAAGCCATATGTCGATAGAGCTATCTCACAAAAAATATTTTCCGAATTTATACGCTCACCATTTCAAAACGGTGCAAGTTCTCTATTTCTATTTAATACCATTCGATTTGTCCAAGTTTTTTCATCAAAGAAAGTGCCTACTCAGACCGGATAAATTATTCTTTTGAGCTGGAGAGACCGATAAATCAGAGTATGTCTTTTTTCTAAAGATACTAAAATACAGAGCTAACAAAAAATTTAGGAAGCTCCATAGAGCAATTCTGCACACGAATTGGTATCCAGGAGGTACAAGTTGGTACACTCAGCAAATTTCAGAAGTCTCCCTTAACCAATAAGAAAATTAGTACCATAAAACCATACGTCAAGCGAGCTTTCTCATAAAAAATATGTTTCGAGTTTATAAGCAAACCGTTTCAAAACAATGCAAGTTCTCTATTTCTACTTGTTACCATTCGATTTGTCTAAGTTTTTTCATCACGGAAAGTGACTATTCAGACCGGATAAATTATTCTTTTGAGCTGGAGAGACCGATAAATCAGACGATGTCATTTTTCTAAAGATGCTAAAATCGAGAATGGACAAAATATTTGGGAAGCTCCACCGAGAATTTCTGAATGCGGATTCGTATTCAGGGGGTGTAAGTTAGTCAGGGTAGCAAATTTCAAGAGTTTCCCTTACCGAATAAGAAAATTAGTACCATAAAAGCTATACGTCAAGCGAGCTTTCTTACTAAAATATGCTTTGAGTTTATAGGCTCACCAAAACGCTGCAAGTGTTCGACTTGCGGTTTACAGCATTCGATTCCTTTGAGTTTTTCATTGCAGGAAGTGGTATTTTAGCCTGGATAATTTAGTCTTTTTTCGGGAAGCTCCACAGGGCAATTCTGAACACAGACTCGTATTCGGAATGTACGAGTTAGTAAATACAGCAAATTTCAGAAGTCTCGTTTATCTAATAAGGAAATAGTACCATAAAACCCATACGTCAAGGGAGCTTTCTTACAAAAAATATTTATCGAGTTTAAAAGCTCACCATTTATAAACGGTGTAAGTGTTTAATTTCTAATTTATACCAGGCGATTCCTCGGAGTCTTTTGACCACAGATGGTAACTCTCAAGTCCGGATAAGTCAGGTTTTTGAGCTTAAGAAGCCGCCAAATTGATCGATGATATTTTTCAACTACATAATAAGTATGTAAAAAAAATATCAAAAAAATTCAGAAAGCTTCGCAGGAAAATTCTGAACTCGGATTAATATTCGCAAGGTAAAAATTAGTGAGTACAGAAAATTTCACCGTTCTACATTATCCAATTCGAAAATTAGTACCTTAAAATCCATACGTCATACCAGCTTTTTCAGAAGAAATATTTTTCGAGTTTATAGGCTCATTATTTCTAAACGGTGCAAGTATATGTGTTTTGGGTTATACCAATCGATTCCTCTGAGTTTTTTCATCACAGATAGTGACCTTTAACACCGCCTAAGTTAGTCTTTCGGGCTTGAGAGATCCATAAATCGGACAATGTCATTTTTCTAAAAGTACTGAGATAAAAAAAAAAAATCAAAAAAATCCCGAAGCTCTACAGAGCAATTCTTAACCCAGATTCGTATTCAGGAGTTACAAATTAAGTAGTACAGCGAATTTCAGGAGTCTCCCTTATCGAATAAGAAAAATAGTATCATAAAAGCCAGACGTCAAGTGAACTTCGTACAAAAAATATTGTTCGAGTTTATAAGCTCAACATTTCTAAACGGTGTAGGTGTTCGACTTGAAGTTTATACCACTCGATTCCTCGGAGTCTTTTGATTAGAGATGGTAGCTCTCTAGTCCAAATAAGTCAGGTTTTCGGGCCTGAGAGACCGCTAAATCGAACGATGTCATTTTTCTAAAGGTACTAATACGTAAAAAAATATCAAAAAATTCAGAAAGCTTCTTAGGGAAATTCTAAACTCAGATTCGTATTCACAAGGTACAGATTAGTGAATACAGAAAATTTCAGCATTCTTTCTTATCCGGTAAGAAGCTTAGTACCTTAAAATCAATGCGTCAGGCGAGCTTTTTCACGACAAATATTTTTCTAGTTTATAAGGTCATTATTTCTAAACGGTGCCAGTATCTGATCGATTCCTCTGAGTTTTTTCATCACAGATAGTGACCTTTTACACCGCCTAAGTTAGTCTTTGGGGCTTGAGAGATCCATAAATCGGACAATGTCATTTTTCTAAAATAAGTACTGAGATAAAAAAAAATAAAAAAAAATCACGAAGCTCTACAGAGCAATTCTTAACACGGATTCGTATTCAGGAGCTACAAATTAAGTAGTACAGCGAATTTCAGGAGTCTCCCTTATCGAATAAGAAAATTAGTATAATAAAAGCCAGACGTCAAGCGAGCTTTCGTACAAAAAATATTTTTCGAGTTTATAAGCTCACTCTTTCTTAATGGTTCCTTCAGATAATACCCATCGATTCCTCTGACTTTTTCATTCTAGATGGTGAATTTTTAGACCGAATAAGTTAAGTTTTCGGGCTTGAGAAACCCATAAATCGAACGATGTCATTTTGCTAAAGGTACTAATATGTAAAAAATGTCAAACAATTTCTAAGGGAAATTCTGAACTCGGATTTGTATTTAGAAGGTATAAATTAGGGAGTACATAAAAAATGAGTTCCAATTATAAAACTTGGCTGACAAATAATATATATATCAACTAAAAAACTTAGTGTAATGTTAGTAGTTTTACCACATATGAGTTTTTTTTTTCGATAATGTCATCGTCACAAGAGCCTTCTTGATCCAACTTGTTTTTTGTCTGTCTGTTTCCGCCCGATTACACAAACTTATTTATTACCGAGAAGTGCAAACAAATGCACCTAACTTCCTCTCTACAGCGGAAATTAACACAAGTTAGACATGCCAAACTCACGACAATCTTCCCCACATCCTCCCAAATTAAAGTCTAAGCCATTAAAATCAATACCAACAACCAAGTTCAACTCGTTAATCCCCAAATAAACACATCTCCCTGTCAAGAACAGAAATTATTAGCAATCTATGTTCCGCACGAGCTCGCACCGTCGTTGTTAATTAAACTCCACTTTCCCTTTCGTCTTCCTTTGTACAACCGTAAAAAATAATAATGAAGTTACAGTTACGAATTGGCAGACGCACTTTATACCTTGCCGACAACGAGCCAAACTCACATTTCGCTAAAGTATTTACCCCAAAAAAGGCAAACTCCTTTTCATGTTTAAGCAAGTTTCATTAAACGCGTTAATAACTCGAAGCTTTTACTTTTCAAGATGAAGAAAAAAACGAAAAAGCAATCTCTGGAAAAATAATAATAATAATAATAATAATAATAATAATAGATATATATTTGCCAAACAGCATAAGCCACAAGTAGGCAAAAGAAAAAAATACAAAATACATATATAAAAAACAATAAACAAATAAGTGTACAGATGCGCACAAAAACATATAGAACAATATATAAACTAATTAGATAAAGATAAACTATTTTTTGCTAAACTCGAGAACAGCTTTACCTAGAATACATTTTAAGGAATCGAAGTTAAGATCACAATCTTTCGCAAATATATTAAAGTTGGAGCAAGCAACCGTGATAGGCGATCTCTTTAGGGCATTACTTCTATTAAAGGTGCAATAAAACGTGCGACTACTTCTACTCGATAAACGAGGCACATAAAAATTAAGATAATCTAAAAGCAGGGGACAGTCAATATAAAAATTATTTAACTTATATACAAAATTAATGGATGATAAGACCCTCCTTGTTTCAAGTGGCAATACTCCAAAGATAGACAAAAGGATGGAATGCTCAAAGTGTCTATGAGGGTAATAACCAAAACGTTGGCGATAAAGAAATTTCAGAAATTTACGTTGGATACGCTCTATCCCTTTAACCATATAGGAGTACACAGGATACCAAATTAGAGAGCAATACTCGAGTTTAGAACGCACCAAAGCGTAATATAGGGTCTTCAAACTATCGTTTCTATTTCTAAAATCAGAACAATTTCTGTAAATGAAGCCTAAAACACGGCATGATTCCTTAATTTTAATGGTAATATGTTCCCTGAAGGTAAATTCAGTATCAAATGTCACACCTAAGTCAGTAGTTTTCGAGCAACGTTGTATTAAGTCATTATTAATGCTATAGTCAAACTGAGTAATCTGCCTTTTACGACTGTAAGATATCACCTTGCATTTACCAATGTTCAGAAACAGACAATTCTCGCAACACCAGTTATAAACTTTATCTAAATCATGTTGAAGATTTAAGCAATCGCTAAAACAATCAATTTTGGCGTATAATTTCAAGTCGTCTGCGTAGAACAATCTGTTACTATCCATTATGTCACTAAGGTCATTGATAAACAGTAGAAACAACAGGGGCCCTAAGTTGGATCCCTGTGGTACACCAGACGTGGCGAAAAATGGCAAGGATCTACTCTGTTGATAAACAACTACTTGCTCTCTTTCAGAAAGATACGATAGAAACAGATTACACAGTCCTCCCGAAAACCCAAAGTGATCTAATTTCTTAATGAGTATAAGGAAGTTTATGGTGTCGAAAGCCTTCCGAAAATCGGTGTACAAAACATCCACTTGGCCACGCTGGTTCAAAGCTTCGGCAACGTATTGTGATAGTACAGCTAAGTTAGTTTCAGTTGATCTCTTTTTCATAAAACCATGCTGACAAGGGGAAATTAAGTTTTTAACCTGTGCATATAAGTGTTTATAAAGAATAGATTCAAAAACTTTTGAAAAATTCGATAATATAGCAATGGGTCGGTAATTCACAATATTAGTATGATCTCCACTTTTAAATACTGGACAAACTTTAACTTTTTTCCATATTGAGGGGAAGGTTGACGTTTTCAAGATTAAATTATAAATATGCAGCAAAGGTTCGCAAAAAATATTGTAACAATCTTTCACTATATAAGCTGGTACCAAGTCTAATCCTGCAGTTTTTTTATTTTTAACTTGCTTTAAGGCAAGACGCACATCTGACAGAGAGAAGCAATGTACAGCGATATTCGGGAAACTTTCACCTGACTGCTTATCACATGGTTTGTTACATGAATTTGAATTTGATTCAATATAGACACTTTGAAAAAAATGGGCGAAAGCATTAACAATAGCATCAGCATTGTCAAGTTGAGAGTCATTATATGTCATTTGACCAGGTATCCTGGTGTGACTTTTTTTACCACGAATGTAGTTCCAAAATGTCTTAGGATCTGAAACTAAATTACCTTCAATTTTGCTAATATAATTTTCATATGCAAACCTTATCATCGTTTTTACTTGAGATCTTAGTGCCTTGTAATACTCATAGTCTGCAGATTGCTTACTTAACTTGAATTTTTTATGAGCCTTATTTTTTAATTTGATTTTACTAATTATTGAACGGGTAAACCAGATAGGGTATCCCTTGTCGTGTTTACAAACAGTATACGGGACTGTATAATCAAATGTGGAATAAATTAAATCGTAAAAAATATTGCACGCATCATCAACATCAGAACAATTATATAACAAGGACCAGTCTATTTCTGAGAATATTTTGTACATAGTAGCAAAGTCTGCTTTTGAAAAATTATATGTACGGGGTATAAAATCTGGTATAAACTCTTTATAGTGATTATGTGCATAATGACAGGTAGTGGGAGAGATGGGTTTCGCATTCTTAAGCAAAACACAGAGGATTCGTGTATAATGTTGGGTTTGTATTTTTGTCACGATTTTAATGAACTGTAGTGGAGACGTTGTCAGGTCGACGGTGTCACTCACCAGTACGAATAAACAAAATAACGAAAATATCTAACGAGCACTTACTGTCCTCTGGAAGTATGCAGGAGCAACGTAACCAAGGTAGACGCCCCAGGACAAGTACAATTGTTAGCCAGAAGAGCGTACTTGAACTCGTCTTCGCACACAACGAACTCCGCGAATTTCACGTGGAGCTTATTTTCAGGCCTGAAAATCTGAACGTATTGTGCCACATTCGGGGCGAAATCCTTCACAGCCCACGACCTCAGGATCGTGTGCTCGTCCTGCAAGGAAAAACATTAATTAAATCCTGGAAACACGCGCACGATTTTTGCTTCTCCGTAGTTAACCCAGCCTAGAGTCCTTGACGTATTATGAGTCTAGCTATGGATTTTAGTTCTCTGTTTTTGTCATTCAAATTTTCAGTGTCGGTGAAATTTTCAGTGGCGGTACGTACAATGGAGATGATTGGGGATAACTTTACTACAATTTGGTGATCAAGTTTTATTTCATGTAAATATGGAGTTTTTAAATTAACATTTTTTTCAGGAATTACCTTTTTCAAATTAAAAAAAAATCCATAGTTAAAAACAAATTAAATACTTGGAATCCCCTAGATTCATCAGTTAAAAAAAACACACTTAGAGCTCTCGCGATTCTTTCAGCTTCTTAAAAACAAAAGAAACACCGAAATTCTGTCGCCTTTTAGAAAAAATATTGTTTGAAGCCGCCGAGATTCTTTCGCTTTAAAACAAAACACTTGGACCCCCAAGATTTCTTTGCCTTTTAGAAGAAAAAAAAAAAAAAAACGTGGAGCGCCCAAGATTCTTTCGCCTTTTATACAAAAATAACACTAGGAGCCTTCGAGACTGTTTCAGCTTTTTAAGTTTCTCCAATTCTCCAAAGAAAAAAATAATAATACTACGGCACTCCGAGATACTTTCACTTTTTAGATCAAAATAACACTTAGAGCCCCAGAGATTTTTCCAGCTTCTCAAAAAAGAAAAACCACTAAGATACTCGGAGATTCTACCGACTTTTAGAAAAAAATAAGGCTTGAAACCTTCCAGATTCTTTCATTTTTCGTTTTAGAAAAAAACGTAGCCCCCAAGATTTTTAAAAATAACACTTAGAGCCCACAAGATTCGTTCACCTTTTAGAAAAAATAACACTGGGAACCCTCGAGACTCTGTCAGCTTCTAAAAAAAAACACTAGAGGATCTCGAGACACTTTCAATTTTAGAAAAAAAAATAACACTTGGGCTCCTTGAGATTATTTAATCTTCTCGCTTTAGAAAAATATAACACTTAAATGCCCCAAGATCTTTTCGTCTTTTACACAAAATAACACTTGAGACCCCCAAGTTTTTTTAAGTTTGTCAAATACGACATACTTTAAGCTTTTAGAAAAAAATAACACTTATAGCCCACAAGATCCTTTCTTCTTTTATAAAAATAACATTGAAACCCCGAAGATTTTTCGAAAAAAAAAAACACTAGGGAACCACAAGAATGATTCTTTCTCCTTTTGGAAAAAAATAACACTTGAAATCCCCGAGGTTTTTCAGTTTTTTATGCAGCCCCCGAGATTCTGTCAACTTCTCAAAAAAAACAATACAGGACCCTGAGATTCTTTCACTTTTAGAAAAAAAATAACTGTTGGTGTCCTCGAGATTATTTCATATTCAACAAAAGAAAGACACTAGAGAAAATTGAGATTTCTTCGTATTTTGGCAAAAAATAACACTTGGGACTCCGAGATACTTTAGCTTTTTAGAAAAAATAACACTTAGAGCTCTCGAGATCTTTCCATCTTTTAGAAAAAAATAACATTTGGAACCCCCAAGGTGTTTTGAGCTTGTCAAAAAAAAATTAAAGAGACCCCAAGAATTATTCTTTCTCCTTTTGAAAAAAAATAACACTTGGAGTCCCCGAGACTCCTTCGGCTTATTAGAAAAAATAACAGTTGAGGTCCTCGAGATAATTTCGTCTTATACAAAAAAAAAAAGGAAAATTGAGATTTCTTTGTATTTTGGCAAAAAATAACACTTGGAGACGTCGGAATTTTTTTCTTTTTCAAAAAAAAATAACACTTGGAGCCCCGAGATTCTTTCGCATTTTATAAAAAGTAACACTTAGCTGCTCCCAAGACCTTTTCGTCTTTTAGAAAAAAAAACACTTTGTAACTCTGGATTTTCTTAGCTTGTCAATTACCATACTATGGAACTCCGAGATATTTTAGCCTTCTAGAAAAAAATAACACTTGGAGCCCTTGAGCTCCTTTCATCTGTTAGAAAAAATAACATTGGGTTGTTTCAACTTGTCAAAAAAAAACCCCTAATGGACCCCAAGAATGATTCTTTCTCCTTTTGGAAAAATTAAGGCTTGGAGTTCCCGAGATACTTTCGCCTTGTGGAAAAAAATAACATTTGGAGTCCCCGAAATTCTTGAGCTTCTTAAAAATTAAGACTTGGAGCCCCCGAGATTCTATTAGCTTTTCAAAAGAAAAACGTTTGCGGACCCCGAGATACTTTCACTGAAAAAAAATGAGACATGGGGTTCTCGAGATTATTTCATTTTCTACAAAAAAAAACACTACAGAAAATTGAGATTTCTTCATATTTTGGAAAAAATAACACTTAGACCCCCGAGATCCTTTCATGTTTTAGAAAAAATAATATTTGGAATCTCCAAAGGTTTCTTTTTTTGAAAAAAATATAACACTTGGAATCCCCGAGACACTTTAGGCTTTTAGAAAAAAATAACACTTGGAGTCCTCGAAATTCTATCAGCTTCTCAAAAAAAAAAAAACACTCGAGGATCCCGAGATTATTTCACTTTCACAAAAAAAAAAAAAGTTGGGGTCCTCGAGATTATTTCATATTCTAAAAAAAAAACACAAAAGAAAATTGACATTTCTTCGAATTTTGGCAAAAAATAACACTTGGAGACCTCGAAATTGTTTCGCATTTTAGATAAAAATAAAAATTGCAGCCCCAAGATTCTTTCGTGTTTTAGAAAAAATAACACTTAGCTGCCCCCAAGACCTTTTCGTCTTTTAGAAAAAATAACACTTGGTAGCTCTGGATTTTTTTAGCTTGTCAAATATGTACCATACTATGATACTCCGAGATATATTAGCCTTTTAGAAAAAATAACACTTGGAGCCGCTGAGTTCCTTTCATCTGTTAGAAAAAATAACATTGGATTGTATCAAATTGTAAAAAAAAAACCACTAAGAGACCCCAAGAATGATTCTTTCTCCTTTTGGAAAAATTAACGCTTGGAGTTCCCCAGATTCTTTCGCCTTGTGGAAAAAATAACACTTGGAGTGCCCGAAATTCTTGAGCTTCTTAAAAATTAAGACTTGGAGCCCGCGAGATTCTATTAGCTCTTCAAAAGAAAAACGTTTGCGGACCTCGAGATTCTTTTACTGAAAAAAAATGAGACTTGGGGTTCTGGAGATTATTTCATTTTCTACAAAAAAAAACACTAAAGAAAACTGAGATTTCTTCGTATTTTGGAAAAAATAACACTTGAAGCCCCGAGATTCTTTCGCGTTTTAGAAAAAATAACACTTAGCTGCTCCCAAGACCTCTTCGTCTCTTAGAGAAAATAGCACTAAAAACCCCAGGATTTTTAAACTTCACATACACCACAGTATGGGACTCCGATTTACTTTAGCCTTTAAAAAAATAACACCTAGAGCCCCCAAGATCCTTTCATGTTTTAGAAAAAATTATATTTGGAACCTCCAAGATGACCAATGATTCTATCTTCTTTTGAAAAAAAAAATAACACTTGGAGTCCCCGAAATTTTATCAGGTTCTCAAGAAACAACACTCGAGGATCCCGAGATTATTTCACTTTCACAAAAAAAATTACAGTTGTGGTCCTCGAGACTATTTCATCTTCTAAAAAAAAACCCAAAGAAAATTGAGATTTCTTCGTATTTTGGCAAAAAATAACACTTGGAGATCTCGAAATTCTTTCGCATTTTAGAAAAAAAAAACACTTGGACCCCGAGATTCTTTTGTGTTTTAGAAAAAATAACACTTAGATACCCCCAAAACCTTTTCGTCTTTTAAAAAAAGTAACACTTGGTAGCTCTGGATTTTTTTAGCTTGCCAAATACCATACTATGGGACTCCGACATATTTTAGCCTTTTAGAAAAAAATAACACTTGGAGCCCTTGAGTTCCTTTCATCTATTAGAAAAAATAACATTGGATTGTATCAACTTGTCAAAAAAAACACTAAGGGACCCCAAGAATGATTCTTTCCTCTTTTGAAAAAAATAACACTTGGAGTCCCCGAGACTCCTTAGGCTTTTAGAAAAAAATAACACTTGGAGTCCCCGAAATTCTATCAGCTTCTCAAAGAAAAACACTCGAGAACCCCGAGATTCTTTCACTTTCAGAAAAAAAAAAATTAACAGTTGGGGTCCTCGAGATTATTTCATCATCTTAAAAAAATACAAAAGAAAACGGAGATTTCTTCGTATTTTGGCAAAAAATAACGCTTGGAGACCTCGACATTCTTTCCCATTTTAGAAAAAAATAATACTTAAGCCCCGAGATTTTTTCGTGTTTTAGAAAAAATAACATTTGGAACCCCCTGGATTTTTTGAGCTTGTCAAAAAAAATACGAGGATCCAAGAATGATTAATACTCTTTTTGAAAAAAAAAAAATAACACTAGGAGTCCCCGCGACACTTTCGCCTTTTAGAAAAAAATAACCTACTTGGGGTCCCAGAGATTCTGTCAGCTTCTCAAAGAAAAACACTCGAGAACCCCGAGATTCTTTCACTTTCAGAAAAAAAAAATTAACAGTTGGGGTCCTCGAGATTATTTCGTCTTCTAAAAAAAATACAAAAGAAAACGGAGAGTTCTTCGTATTTTGGCAAAAAATAACACTTGGAGACCTCGACATTCTTTCCCATTTTAGAAAAAAATAACACTTAAGGCCCGAGATTTTTTCGTGTTTTAGAAAAGATAACATTTTGAGCCCCCTAGATTTTTTGAGCTTGTAAAAAAAACACGAGGACCCAAGAATGATTAATTCTCTTTTTGAAAAAAAATAGCACTAGGAGTCCCCGCGACACTTTCGCCTTTTAGAAAAAAATAACCTACTTGGGGTCCCAGAGATTCTGTCAGCTTCTCAAAGAAAAACACTCGAGAACCCCGAGATTCTTTCACTTTCAGAAAAAAAATTAACAGTTGGGGTCCTCGAGATTATTTCATCTTCTAAAAAAAATACAAAAGAAAATTGAGATTTCTCCGTATTTGGCAAAAATTAACACTCGGAGGCTTCGAAATTCTTTCCCATTTTAGAAAAAAATAACACTTAAGCCCCGAGATTTTTTCATGTTTTAGAAAAAATAACATTTGGAACCCCCTAGATTTTTTGAGCTTGTAAAAAAAACACGAGGACCCAAGAATGATTGTCTTTTTGAAAAAAATAACACTAGGAGTCCCCGCGACACTTTCGCCTTTTAGAAAAAAATAACACTTGGTACCCCAGGATTTGTTTAGCTTGCGAAATACCATACTATGAGACTCCGAGATACTTTAGTCTTTTAGAAAAAAATAACTTGGGGCCCCTGTGCTCATTCATTTTTTAGAAAAAATAACATTTGGAACCGCCAAGGTTTTTTCAACTTGACATAAAAAACACCCACGACTGATTCTTTCTGCTTTTGGAAAAAATAACGCTTGGAGTCTCAGAAATTCTTTCGCCTTGTGGAAAAAATAATGGAGCCCCCGAGATTCTATCAGCTTTTCAAAAGACAAACTTTTAAGGACCCCGAGATTCTTTCACTTTTAGAAAAAAAAATACACTTGGGACTCTCGAGATTATTTCATTTTCTACAAAAAAAAACATTAGAGAAAATTGACATTTCTTCGTATTTTGGAAAAAATAACACTTGGAGCTCCGAGATTCTTTCTCGTTTGTAAAAAAAAAAAAAACCGCCAAGATCTTTCCGTCTTTTACAAAACATAACACTTGGAACCCCCAGAATGATTATTTCTTCTTTTGGAAAAAATAACACTTGAAGTCCCCGAGATTCTTTCACCTTTTAGAAAAAATAACGCTAGGGACTCCGACATACTTTAGCCTTTCAGAAAAAAATAACACTGAGTCCCTTCGACAATTTTTCGTCTTTTAGATAAAATAACACTTACAGTTTCCGAGATCCTTCTATATTTTAGAAAAAATAACACTTGAAACCCCAAGATTTTTTACGTTTGTCAAATAAAACTCTAGGGGCCTCGACATACTTTTGCTTTTTGCAAAAAAATAACAGCTAGAGCCCCCGAGATCTTTTCGAAAAAATAAGAGATTTTTTAAGCTTATCAAAAAAAAGCACTAGAGGACTCCGAGATCCTTTCATCTTAAAAAAAAAAACACAGAAGGCCCTAAGATTTTTTTAGGCTTGCCAAAGAAAGCACTAGAGAACCCATAGATCCTTTCATCTTAAAAAAAAAATATCCGGAGCCCTAAGATTTTTTAGGCTTCTCAAAAAAAGCACTGGAGGACCCCGAGATTCTTTCACCCTTCAGAAAAAAATAACAGTAATAACCCTTTTGCGTGTTTAGAAAAAATAACACTAGAGGCCCCCGAAATTTTTTCGCTTTTTAGGAAAAATAATATTTGGAGCTTCCAAGATTCTTTCAGCATCTCAAAAAAACAACATTTAGATACTCCGAGATCATTTCGTTTTTTAGAACAAAATAATTCTAGAGGACACCGAGATTTCTTGGTCTTTTAGAAAAAATTAACGCTAGGAGCCCCCGACAATCTGTCAGATTGTCTAAAGGGAGACAATAAAAAACTCTTTGAATCTTTCAGCTTTAAAAAAGTCATTAGAAGACCTGACCTAACGTGATCTGACCTGACCTGACTTGACCTTCCATAGTTAAAAACAAATTAAACACAACTTCTGTCGGATATGCTAGTAAATTAACTCTAAATTCCCTTAAACAAACGAATTTCATATACGGGCTAGACAATTTTTGGTAATAATTGCTCGTAGACACTTACTACACTTTAAATTACGTCAACCCACTCCACCCCAACCCGGCTCCGAAAACTGCTTATTTGTTGGAAACTCGATTAAATCGCGTTTTTGCCGAAAGTAAGTGCGGTCAAATAAACTCGGGATTAATTAAGACGAGGGTAAGGTGGCGGCGCCAGATATGGTTGGGGGCGGCAGAGGCGATCAGCTTAATTGAAAAATTAAATTGCGAATTATGAAATTGTTGCGGCTCTCGCGCGATTGTAATTGCATTGGTTAACAATAAAAATTCCGAAAGCGTGCTAAAAACGCGTTGTTTTCTGGCGAAGTCGGGTATCTGTGTTTGTGATTTACGTTTATGAGTGACATTTCGGATTTATGTCTCACGGTTTGTTCTAAAAATGGCCCGAATAGGTGGCAATAAATTCCGTGAAAAATGTAATAATTATCGGTGTTTTATGGTAGTCTGCTGGCATTACTAAACTATAAATAATAATAATAGTACGGAACTAATGGAATACAGAGTTGCTTTCTTTCTTTTTTTTGGTGGCGGAAATTGGAATTCTGAAGGGTGTTGATATATGGCAAAATTTGAAAACTGGCAGCTAAATGAATAGTTTGAATTTTGTGTAAAACTTGATGGTTTTTACCGACTCGTTTTACACTCGTAATAAAATAACAATGCGGTTGGAGGCAGCACTTGGCCAAAACCGACGACGATTTTATTTCTTAATTTAAAATACAGACAGGAAACACCTGCTCACGTCCCAGCTGTTTCCACGATTTCGGTGTTGAAAATAAAGTTTTCGCAGAAAACTCCTTTTCGTGCTACTTGAGGAAAATATTACCTACTGCGTGAGAATTTGATATTTTGTAAAACAATGATTTTCTTTTTCGTTAGGGCGCTGTTTACGAAGTTGTCGGAAATCTGGCTGATTTATGAATTATGAGATTGGTTAAAATGATTTACTAAAAAAATATATACAAACCGCTTTATACATTAATTTTTTGGGAGATTATGTACAAAAATTTCTCAAAAATGAGAGTGTTAACCACTCCCGCATCCTTCGTGACTCATCCACCATAAAACTTCCTCATCCAAAACAAGCAGCTTTTTCCTGAAAGTAATTGCCCGTCCTCAACCACCATAAATCACCCAGAAACTATTGATTCCGCGACCATGCGCCACCCTCTAATTTATTTCCATTAAACCATCATAATCTAATTGGCAATTTAATGTAACACACATTTCTCCCACAGCCCACATTTCCGCCGCCACCTGCCATCCACACTCGCGTTTCCACGTCCATAACACAGTAACACTCTTTAATTAAACTAGCCGCCCCCGAGCGAAATTCTGACAGCCCTTTTTCAATTTTCCCAAAAACGAAACTCAAATGTTATACAACCCTGAGACCGAGTAATCCATGCACGTCCAGATGGGTCGTCCTTAATTAACTCACCGCCGCCGTTTTGTCCGCGTAATTCCTGGCCGCCAGGACGAAGCAGGCCTCGGCTTCGTTCATCCGCGCCCTGGCGAGGTCCCCGTCCTTGAGGCAGGAGCCTTGGATGTAGATGACGCGCTGCGCCCATATGGGCACCTGTAGGATCATCCGCATGGTGGTGTCGAGCTCCATGGGTGAGAGTAGGACGACGTAGTAGTCCTGCAGGAGCGGGTGGGCGTAGAACTCGTTCAGGAAATCCATGATGGTGTCCGCGTGGAGGGTCGTGCTGCAGACCACCACGTGTTTCTCGGACTGGGCGCGGTGGGAGGAGTAGGAGCCCCCGAGCTTCTGGCGCTCCATCCACGTGAAGGCGAGCTGCTCGAACTAAAAAAATAATAATAATGAGACGCCTATGGAACGTGATTCATAGGATACACTTAAATGTTAGCCAATGAATTAGCAATTTGATTAACATGCCTTTTCCACGCTATATTTTTCAAAGAAGGGACTGAACAATAGATAAGTCCGACCACCTATTCTTTTATCTATTTTACCTTCGATTCATTTATCTTTGTTTCTAATATAAAGCACATCCCCATTTTTCTGCAGAATGTTTCCAAATAATTGGGTATTAAAGTTAAGCTAAATTTGTCATTTAATCCTTTATTATATATACATTAACTTCGCCGAGTTTCACCTGTTGTCACTCTATATGCAAATAAATATCTATTAATTAATGTAGTTCACGGAATATTTGTATTTTGATTATCATACAAAGCATTTTTAATGCATTTTTAATGATTTAACTTTATTTATTATTACTTTAGCTAATTACTTACTATTGGTATTTACAATTTTGAGTAATTAATTTTGTGTTTAAAAAATTCACATTTTCTCTAATTCTCATTTTTTTATTTTTCGATTCCTTAAATTTTCGGTTTTGATATATTTGGACTTTTCGATTTTTCGACTTCTCGTTTTCGATTTCTCCTAATTTTGAATTTTACGATCTTTGGATTTTTTGATTTTTGAATGTTTCGATTTAGGTATCAATTTTTTCATTTTTGATTTTTGGATTCTTCGAATTTTCGACTTTCTAATTTTTTGACTCTTCCATTTTTCCACTTCCCGATTTTTGAATTTTTCCTTTTCAACTTTTTGGTTTTCAGATTTTTGTATTTCCCGATTTTCGGATTTCTACATCTTTCGATTTTTCGATTTATCAATTCTGGATTTTTGATTTTGGATTCCACGAGTTTTCGTTCCAACAGTTTTCCTTCCAATTTTTGAATTTTTCGAATTTCGTATTTTTTCGACTCAACGTCTTTGGATTTCTTTTTATTGGAATTTCGTTTTTTTTTTATTTTTGATTGTTCGATTTTTGGATTTCTCGATTTTTTGAATTTTTCAATTTATCAATTTTTGGATTTTTGATTCTTGGATTCTTGGCGATTTTTTTTTTGGATTTCTGTTCATTGGAATTTCGTTTTTTTTTAATTTATAGATTTTTTTGACTATTTGGCTTTACGATTTCTAGATTTTTCGACTTTTGGTTTGTTCCATTTTTGCTTTTCTACATTTTTCGAATTTTCGAGTTTCCGATTTTTGGATTTTACCTCCTTTGGATTTTTCGACATTTCAATTTTAGGATTTTTCGATTTTTTGGATTTTTCGATTTTTCAATTTTTGGATTTTTCGATTTATCAATTTTTGATTGTTGGATTCTATGACTTTCCGTTCCTACAATTATTCAGTTTTGAATTTTTCCCCTTTCCGATTTCTCGATTTTTCGACTTTTGGTTTGTTCCATTTTTGGTTTTCTACATTTTTCGAATTTTCGACATTTTAATTTTTGAATTTCTCGATTTTTCGACTCCAGTTTTTCGACGCCTCCATTTTTCCACTTCCTGAATCTTTGAATTTTTATTTTTTCAACTTCTTGGTTATTGGATTTCTCTTTATTAAGATTTGTTTTTTTTATTTTTGGATTTTTTCGACTATTCGACTTCCAATTTCACGATTTCTCGATTTTTCGGTTGTTCGATTTTTGGTTCTCTACATTTTTCGATTTTTGGACTCCTCGATTTTTTCGTTTTCCAATTTCTCAGTGTTTCGACTTTACAATTTTTCCACTCTTCCACTATTCCACTTCCCGATTCTTGAATTTTTACTTTTTCAAATTTTTGTTTTCCAGATTTTTTTATTTTCCGGGTTTCGGTTTTCTACACTTTTCGATTTTTGATTTTTGGATTCTACGTTTGTTCGTTCCTACAATTTTTCAGGTTTGGATTTTTCCACTTTGCGATTTTTGAATTTTCGAATTTTTACTTTTTCTACTTTTTGGTTCCCAGACTTTTCTCTTTCCCGATTTTCGGATTAATTAACGATTTTTTGGATTTTAGATTTGTCTTTATTGAAGTTTCGCTTTTTTTTGATTTTTGAAATTTTTCGATTTTTCGACTTTTTGTTTTCGATTTCTCGACTTTTCCTTTGCTTGATTTTTGGTTTTCTACATTTTTCGAATTTTCGAGTTTTCAATTTTTGGATTTTCCGATTGATCGAGTTTGGATTTTTCGACTTTTTGATTTTTAGATTTTTATAATTTTCGTTCTTTCGATTTTTCGAGTTTTTGGATTTTTGAATATAACGATGTTTGGATTTTTTGAGTTCTAGATTTTTGGTTGAATATTTTGATTTTTGGACTTTTCGGCGTTTCGATTTTTTGATTTCTCGATTTTTTGGATTATCGGTTCCTCGATTTTTCGACTTTCCAATTTTTCGACTGTTTTCCACTTCACGATTTTTGATTTTTTACTTTTTCAACTTTTTGGTTTTCAGATTTTTCTATTTACCGAAAAATTTTTCGATTTTTCCATTTGTAAATTTTTCGATTTATCGATTTCCGGATTCTACGACTTTTCGTTGCTACAATTTTTCAGGTTTGGATTTTTCCAGTTTTCAAATTTTTGAATTTTTCGAATTTTGTATGTATATTTTCGACTTAACGATTTTTTGGTTTTTGGATTTCTCTTCATTGGGATTTCGTTTTTTTATTTTTGAATTTTTTCGACTATTCGAGGTTAGGATTTCCCGATTTCTCGACTTTTTCATTGTTCGATTTGTAGTTTTCTACATTTTTCGAATTTTCGAATCTTACACTTTTCCACTTTTCCACTTCCCGGTTTGAATTTTTACATTTCAAGTTTTCGATTTTTTGATTCTACGACTTTTCGTTCCTACAATTTTTCAGGTTTGGATTTTTCCCCTTTCCGATTTTTGAATTCTTCGAATTTTGTATTTTTACGATTTGACGATTTTTTAGGTTTTTGGATTTCTTTTTATTGATTTTTGGAATTTTTAGATTTTTCAACTTAGGGATTTTCGATTTCTCGACGTTTCCTTTGTTCGATTTTTGATTTCCTACATTTTACGAATTTTTGAGTTTTCCATTTTTAGATTTTTCGATTTTTTGATTTTGGATTCTTCGACTTTTCGCTTTTCGGATTTTTGCACTTTTCGTTCTTATTATTCTTATATTACTATTTTTCTATTTCTCAAAAGTTTTGAATTTTAGAATATATCGATTTTTGGATTTTTCGACTCCTAGGTATTTGAATTTTGGATATTTCGATTTTTGGGTTTTTAGATTTTGCGAATTTTCGATTTCCCAATTGTTTGATTTTTCGACTTTTCGATTTCTCGAATTTTCGTTTTATTCGAAATTTTAATTTCTTTATTTTTCAGTTACATGATGTTCCGATTTTGTAAGTTTTCAATTTGTCAGTTTCTGCATTTCGACTTCCCGATTTTCCGACTTTTTCACTTTTCGATTTTTCAATTTTTCGAAGTTTCAGTTTTTGGATTTTTCGACTTTTCTATTTTTCGACTCTTCCACTTTTCCACTTCCCCATTTTTTAGTTTTATTTTGCAACTTTTTGGTTTTCAGATTTTTATATTTTCCGGTTTTTGGATTTCTAATTCTTTCGATTTATCAATTCTGGATTTTTGATTTTGGATTCTACGACTTTTCGTTTCTACAGTTTTCCTTCCGATTTTTGAATTTTTTCAACTTTGTAGTTTTTCGACTTTCCGATTTTTTGGATTCGATTTCTCGATGTTTTCACTTTCCAATTTTTGTCTGCTCCACTTTTCCACTTCCCGTTTTGGATTTTTACTTTTAGACTTTTTGTTTTCTAGATTTTTCTATTTCCCGAGTTTCGGATTTCTACAATTCTTCAGGTTTGGATTTTTCCACTTTCCGATTTTTGTATTTTTTTCAACTTACAATGTTTTGGTTTTTGGATTTCTCTTTAGTGGAATTTGTTTTTTTTTTATATTTTCGACTATCCGACTTTACGATTCCCGATTTCTCGATTTTTCGATTGTTCGATTTTTGATCTTCTACATTTTTCGATTTTTGGATTTCTCGATTTTATGGATTTTCGATTTCTCGATTTTTCGACTTTCCAATTTTTTAACTCTTCTACTTTTCCATTTCCCAACTTGAATTTTTACTTTTTCGACTTTTTGGTTTCCAGATTTTTTTATTTCCCGATTTTCGGATTTCTACACTTTATTTCGATTTTTGAATTTTTCGATGTATCACTTTTTGGATTTTTGATTTTTGGATTCTACGACTTTTCGTTCGTACAATTTTTCAGGTTTGGATTTTTCCCCTTTCCGATTTTTGAATTTTTCGAATTTTGTATTTTTACGATTTGACGATTTTTAGGTTTTTGGATTTCTTTTTATTGAAATGCTTTTTGATTTTTGGAATTTTTGATTTTTCAACTTGGGGATTTTCGATTTCTCGATGTTTCCTTTGTTCGATTTTTGATTTCCCACATTTTACGAATTTTCGAATTTTCCATTTTTGGATTCTTCGACTTTTCGATTTTCGGATTTTTGGACTTTTCGTTCTTCCGATTTTTCGAATTTTGGATTTTTGATTTTTCGATTTCCCCATTTTCTGATTTTTCGATTTTTCTATTTCTCAAAAGTTTTGGATTTTGGAATATACCGATTTTTGGATTTTTCGACTTCTAGATCTGTGAATTTTGGACATTTCGATTTCTGCATTTTTAGATTTCTCGAATTTTCCGTTTTTGGAAATTTTGTCTTCTTGATTTTTCAGTTTCTTGACGTTCCGACTATGTAAGTTTTCAATTTGTCAATTTCTGCATTTCGACTTCCCGATTTTCCGACTTCACTTTTCAATTTTTCAATTTTTCGAATTTTTAGTTTTTCGATTTTTCGACTTTTCTATTTTTCGATTCTTCCACTTTTCCACTTCCCCATTTCTTAATTTTATTTTTTCAACTTTTTGGTTTCCAGATTTTTGAATTTACAGATTTTCGGATTTCTACATCTTTCGATTTTTCGATTTATCGATTTAGGATTTTTGATTTTTGGATTCTATGAATTTTCGTTACTATAATTTTTAAGGGTTTGGATTTTTGCCCTTTCCGATTTTTGAATTTTTCGAATTTTCTATTTTTTCGACTTAACGATTTCTTGGTTTTTGCATTTCTCTTTATTGAATTTTTTTTTTATTTTTGAATTTTTTAATTTTTCGACTTTTGAATTTTCGATTTCTCTACGTTTCGTTTGTTCGATTTTTGCTTTTCAGTTTCTTGATGTTCCGACTATGTAAGTTTTCAATTTGAGAATTTCTGCAATTCGACTTCCCGATTTTCCGACTTCTTCCCTTTTCGATTTTTCAATTTTTCGAATTTTTAGTTTTTCGATTTTTCGACTTTTCTATTTTTCGATTCTTCCACTTTTCCACTTCCCCATTTTTTAATTTTATTTTTTCAACTTTTTGGTTTTCAGATTTTTGAATTTCCAAATTTTCGGATTTCTACATCTTTCGATTTTTCGATTTATCGATTTAGGATTTTTGATTTTTCAGGTTTGGTTTTACCCCTTTCCGATTTTTGAATTTTTCTAATTTAGTATTTTTTCGACTTAACGATTTTTTGGTTTTTTGATTTCACTTTATCGGAATTTCGTTTTTTTCTTGATTTTTGGATTTATTCGATTTTTCGACTTTACGATTCCTCGATTTCTCGACTTTCCGATTCCTCGATTTCTCAACTTTTCGTTTGTTCGATTTTTGGTTTTCTACATTTTTCGAATTTTCAAGTTTTCGATTTTTGGACTTCTGATTTTTTAATTTCTCCATTTTCTGATTTTTCGATTTTTCTATTTTTCAAAAGTTTTGGATTTTAGAATATATCGATTTTTGGATTTTCCGACTTCTAGATATTTGAATTTTGGATATTTCGATTTTTGGATTTTTAGATTTTTCGAATTTTCGATTTCTCGATTGTTTGATTTTTCGACTTTTCGATTTCTTGAATTTTCGTTTTTGGATATTTGATTTCTTGATTTTTCAGTTTCTTGATATTCCGAATTTGTAAGTTTTCAATTTGTCAATTTCTGCATTTCGACTTCCCGATTTTCCGACTTCTTCGCTTTTGGATTTTTCACTTTTTCGAAGTTTCAGTTTTTGGATTTTTCGACTTTTCAATTTTTCGAATCTTCCACTTTTCCACTTCCCCATTTTTTAATTTTATTTTTTCAACTTTTTGGTTTTCAGATTTTTGTATTTCCAGATTTTCGGATTTCTACATCTTTCGATTTTTCGATTTATCGATTTCGGATTTTTGATTTTTGGATTCTATGACTTTTCGTTTCGACAATTTTTCAGGTTTGGATTTTTGCCCTTTCCGATTTTTGAATTTTTCGAATTTTGTATTTTTCGACTTATAGATTTTTGGGTTTTTGGATTTCCCTTTATCGGAATTTGATTTTTTTATTTTTGGATTTTTTCGGTTCTTCGACTTTTCGATTTCTCGATTTCTCGACATTTCGATTGTTCGATTTTTGATTTTCTCCATTTTTTGAATTTTCGATTTTAGAATTTTTCCATTTATCGATTTTTGATTCTTCAATTTTTCGTTTTTTTTTGGATTTTTGATTTTTCGATTTCTCGATTATATGATTTTTCGATTTTTCGATTTCCCAAATGTTTTGGATTTTTGAATATATCGATTTTTGGATTTTTCAGCATTTCGATTTTTCTAAAAAATGAATAATTTTCGGGGGCTTCTTGTGTTATTTTTTCTGAATACGCGAAAGCGTTCCTATTGTTATTAATTTTTTTTTGACAAGCTTAAAAGATCTCGGGGGCTCTGTGTTATTTTTTTTTTAAAGCTGAAGAATCTCGTGGACCCCGAGTGTTATTTTTTTTGCTAAAAGTCTAAAGAATCTCGAGGTCCCCCAGTGTATTTTTTGGAAAATAAGAAAGAATTTTCGAAAACTCCTAGAATTATTTTATTGTAAAAAGTGAAATGATCTCGGTGGTGTTTTTTTGAGAAGCTGGTAGGCTCTAAGTGCTATTTTTTGCTGAAAGGTGAAAGAATCTCGGGGTTCCCTAGTGATTTTTTTTTTTAGAAGCTAATAGAATTTTGGGAGCTCGAAGTATTATTTTTTATAAAAAGCGAAACAATTTCGGGGGCTTCAAGTGTAATTTTTTCTAAATAGCCGAAAGGGTTCCTAGTGATATTTTTTATGTCGAACGGGCAGTGTTATTTTTTTCTAGAAGATCGCAAGAATCTCGAAGGGAGGGCAGTGTATTTTTTTTCTAATAGGCGAAAGAATCTCCGGGACCCCAAGTGTTATTTTTTTCCAAAAGAAGAAAGAATCATTCTTGGGATTCCCTAATTTTTTTTTTATAAACTAAAAAAATTCTGGGGGTTCCAAATGTTTACTTTTTCTAAAAGATGAAAAGATCTCGGAGGCTCTAAATGTTATTTTTTTTTTACAAAGCTAAAGTATCTTGGAGTCCCATAGTGTGGTATTTGAGAATTTAAAAAAATCCAGAGGGTTTTAACAGATGTAAAAATCATGGAGATATCCAAGTGTTATTTTTTTTTCTAAACCGCGAAAGAATCTTGGGGCTATAAGTGTTATTTTTTGACAAAATATGAAGAAATCTCAGTCTTCTCTGCTGTTTTTTTTTTCGTAGAAGATGAAATAATCTCGAGACTCCAACTGTTATATTTTTTTATAAAAGTAAAACAATCTCGGGGTCCTGTGGTATTTTTTTTTTTTTGAAGAGCTGACAATCTCGGGGACTCCAAGTGTTATTTTTTTTCTAAAAGGTGAAGAAATCTCGATGTCGTCTAGTGTTTTTTTTTTGAGTAGCTGAAATAGTGGTGGGACCACAAGTGTTATTTTTTTTCTAAAAGATGAAAGAATCTTGGAGACTCTGAGTGTTATTTTTTTTTTATAAGGCGAAAGCATCTCGGTGTATCCACACTCTTAAAAACGACATAGCACGTCAAGGCACTCTAGTCAAAATACTTCTAAATTAAATCTAATAATTCTCTTAAAAACTTTTTTCTTTTTCATAAGGTTGGAAATAACTACCTTACTGCAACTTAATAATAACTAATAACACATAAATACCTGCGTCGGTAGCACGATAAGCGCAACGCAGATCATGATGACCATGTACAGCTGCGACGGCCAGATGTCCGGCACGAAGTCCCCGTATCCGACCGTGGAGAACGTAACCACAACGTAATACGTAGCTTGGAAGAGGTTGAGGTGTCGATGGCCTGCCCTTTGAAAGTGCTGGATTCCGCAGACGCTGCAACAATCGATCTTGAATTAATTTTATTACGGATGACACACACCTACGAAACGTCGGCTGAAGAGAGGTCTTTGATTTCTTGAGAGCGGAGGAAATTTACATGAAAGTCGACGACCGCCGCATCCCTGTATCCGCCTCATTGCGACGAAACAATTACGAATTCAGACAGAAATTTCGGAATTCGACTTTGATTCGGGCGAGGGAAGCACTTCGGGTAATTGGATGGTGCGGAGGTGTGTCGAGGGTGCACCTCTCAAAAAGTCGCCGGAAAATGAGTTCAGTGTGGGGTCGAAAAGGACGGCTTTGGGAAAGTGGTTCCTTGAACTGATTAGTGATTAGTGAGTACGAACCCGACATAAGTTAATTTTGATTTGAAAATGTTAAAGTGTGCGATATTCACAAAATTACGAGTTCGTTTTAAAATTCGGTCAATTTATTTATTTTTATTTCTGGATATTATTTAATTTTTCAATTTTTTTTTCTCGTTGTTTGCTGCATCTAGATCTACAATTTTTCGTTCTGATACCTTTCGAAAATTTAATTTATAACATTTTTTTTTCAACGGTGTTTTCTTTCTTCTTTCTTTTTCTTTAAAAAAATTATTTTTAAACCGAATATTTCTCAAATTTTGTCCAGGTACCCTAAACCCGCAATATTTTCAGAATCAGTATGTCGACATCTACATTCTAGAACTTGTGGATTTTCTAAAATTTTTTGTAGATTTTTAAGCAACTTTCTCATAAAGTCAACTTTTCAAAATTTGTCCCTTACGAAAATTTCGACCTTCTTCGAGACTACCTTCGAAAGTTATCAAAGGAGATTTTTTTTGTAAATTTCAACTTGCCTTGAGCCTCATTTCTTCAAAAACCATTTTTTCAGAATCTCCCAATGAAATATGACAATTTATGATTATTCCAAAAATTTTAATCAATTTTTATATCAACTCATTTTTTCAAAATTTTCCAGAATTTCGATATTTTCGGCCACCTTGAAAATTACAAGGAGATTTTTTTTATACATTTGAACATCCAAAATTTACCTTCGGTTTCATTACTTTGTAAACATTGTTTTTAGAATCGCTCCATGAAAGGTGTCAATTTTTTGTATAAAAAAAAAGAAATGTTTTTTCGACAGATTATTCCAAAAATTTTGTCTCGGGGACATAAATACGCATTTTTTTCCGAATCAGCACGTCGTAATTTATATCCTAGAATTTTTTGAGGATTTTTAAGCAACTTTTTCATAAACTCAGTTTTTCAAAATTTGTCCCTTACTAAAATTTCGACCTTCTTCGAGACTACCTTCGAAAATTATCAAAGGAAATTTTTTTTGTAAATTTCGACCTGCCTTGGGTCTCATTTCTTCAAAAACCATTTTTTCAGGATCTCTCAATGAAATATGGCAATTTATGACTATTTCAAAAATTTTAATCAATTTTTATATCAATTCATTTTTTAAAAATTTCCCAGAATTTCGACCGTTTCGACCACCTTGAAAATTACCCAAAGAGATTTTTTTATACATTTGAACATCCAAAATTTACCTTTGGTTTCATTTCTTTGAAAACATTTTTTTTAAATCGGTCAATGAAAGGTGTCAATTTTTTGTATAAAAAAAAATGTTTTTCCGACAGATTATTCCAAAAATTTTGTCTCGGAGACATGAATACGCAATTTTTCCGAATCAGCACGTCGCAATTTATATTCTACAATTTTTTGTGGATTTTTAAGCAACTTTTTCATAAACTCAATTTTTCAAAATTTGTCCCTTACGAAAATTTCGACCTTCTTCGAGACTACCTTCGAAAATTATCAAAGGAGATTTTTTTTTGTAAATTTCAACTTGCCTTGGGCCTCATTTCTTCAAAAACCATTTTTTCAGAATCTCACAATGAAATATGACAATTTATGATTATTTCAAAAATTTTTATCAATTTTTACATCAACTCATTTTTTCAAAATTTCCCAGAATTTCGACCTTTTCGACCACCTTGAAAATCACCCAAGGAGTTTTTTTTTATACATTTGAACATCCAAAATTTACCTTCGGTTTCATTTCTTTGAAAACATTTTTTTTTTAGAATCGTTCAATGAAAGGTGTCAATTTTTTCTATAAAAAAAATGTTTTTCCGACAGATTATTCCAAAAATTTTGTCTCGGGGACACGAATACGCATTTTTTTCCGAATCAGCACGTCAAACTTTATATCCTAGAATATTTTGTGGATTTTTAAGCAAAGTTTCCAAAAGCTCAACTTTTCAAAATTTCTGCTTTACGAAAATTTCGACTTTATTCGGCCACTTTCGAAAATTATCCAAAGAGATTTTTTGTTAAATTCGACCTTCAATAGCTATTTCTGGTCTCATTTCTTGGAAACTGCTACCAATTTTCCAGAAGGGTATAATGAAATATTGCAAGTTAGTTTTAGTGTAAAAAAAAATTGCTACACAATGTTTTCAAAATCACCAAAGCGAGATTTATATCCCAGAATTTTTTCAGGATTTTTAAGCAACTTTTTAAAAAGCTCAAATTTTCAATACTCTCCGGCACGAAAATTTCGACCTTCTTTGACCACCTTCAAGAATTTAATTGAAGCGATATTTTTGCAAATTCGACCTCCCGAAATTACTTTCCGCCTCATTTCTTCGTAAAGTCCTACCATTCTTCCAGAATCGTCTAATGAAATAAGTCAATTTTTAGATTTTTTTTTTATAAATATTTAATAAGAAAATTTTCTAAAATCTTGCTCCGGAACCATAAATATATAATAATAATAATCAGTAATCAAAATGTTTCATGAACATTCCCGAAAATTGCGACCTTCTTTGACCTCTTTCGGAAATTACCTAAAGCGATTTTTTTGTAGATTTATCTTTCCAAGAACTATTTTCGGCTTGATTTCTTCGAAAACTTCTATCATGTTTTCGAGACTTACTAATTTTTAGTTATTTTTTTTTTATTGGTTTTCAAATAAGTAGAATATTTCTGAAATCTTACTCCGGAACCAAAAACGCGCAATATTTAGTAAATATTTGCTAAGATAAGACTAATTTTGGCGAATCACATGGCTTCCAGAAAAATTGAGGGCGGGTGGGCGGGGCCAGTATTTGCTAAGATAAGACTTATTTTGGCAAATGAAGAAAAGAAAATACAGGGAGGTGGGCGGGGCTAGTACTTGCTAAGATAAGACTGAACAATATTAAGAGTAGTCATTGAAATTAGGAGGGGGTAGGTGGGTGCGGTTACTGCTTGCTTATAAGACTCGTCAGAACAAAGCTAAAGTCAGCCCCGCCCACCTCTTTTTTCCATTTCACTGACTTATTTTGACTAGTTGTAGAATCTAAGATTTAAAACAAAGTAAAATGTGACCCCGCCCACCCACCCCTCCTGCGTTTTGATCATTCAATACTAGTGGCTGTGAAAAGCAGAAGTTGGATTTCATATTGATAAATAATAGAATCTAGGATTACATTTTTTTAATACAATTTAATTTTTACTAAATTGTTTCAATTATTAGATTTTGCAATTTTTCGGTCAGCAATTTCACGAGTTCTCGATTTTTAATTTTTTAGTTTTTCGTTTCTTCCGTTTTTCGATTTGCAATTTTCAGTTTTTTTTATTAGTACTTGCTAAGATAACACTGATTTTGGAAAATCACATAGCTTCTAGAAAAATAGAGGGCGGGTGGGCGGGCTCAGTATTTGCTAAGATAAGACTAGTTTGGCAAATCACATACTCTCTAACAAAATACAGGGCGGGTGGGCGGTTCTAGTATTTGCTAAGATAAGATTGAACAATATTAAGAATAGTCATTGAAAAGAAGAGGGAGTAATTGGGCGGGGCTGCTGCTTGCTTATAAGACTCGTCAGAATAAAGCTAAATTCAGCCCCGCCCACCCCTTTTTTCCATTTCACTGACTTATTTTTACAAGTTGTAGAATCTAAGAATTAAAACAAAGTAAAATGTTACCCCGCCCACCCACCCCTCCTGCGTATTGATCATTCATTTCTATTGGCTGTGAAAAGCGGAAGTTGGATTTCATATTGATAAATAATAGAATCTAGGATTACATTTTTTTAATACAATTTAATTTTTACTAAATTGTTTCAGTTATTATATTTTGCAAATTTTCGATCAGCAGTTTCACGAGTTCTCAATTTTTAGTTTTTCGTTTCTTCCATTTTTCGATTTGCAATTTTCAGTTTTTCTTTATTAGTACTTGCTAACATAAGACTGATTTTGGCAAATCACATAGCTTCTGGAAAAATAGAGGGCGGGTGGGCGGGCCGAGTATTTGCTAAGATAAGACTGAACAATATTAAGAGTAGTCATTGAAATGAAGGGTATGTGGGCAGGGCTATTGCTTGCTTAGACTTTAGACTTTAGACTCGTCAAAAAAAAGCTAAATTCAGCGCCGCCCACCCCTTTTTTCTCTTTTACTGACTTATTTTGACAAATTGTAGAATTTAAGATTTAAAACAAAATAAAAAGTGACCCCGCCCACCACCCATATTCCGTTTTGATCTTCCATTCTTATTGGCTCTGAAGAACGGAAGTTGGGTTTTATATTGATGAATAACAGACTCTAGGATTACATTTTTTTTAATACAATTTAATTTTTACCAAATTGTTTCAATTATTAGATTTTGCTATTTTTGGGATCAGGAATTTCACGAGTTCTTAATTTTTACTTTTTCAGTTGTTCGTTTCTTCCATTTTTCGATTTGCAATTTTCAGGGTTTTTTTCATTAGTACTTGCTAAGATAAGACTAATTTTGGCAAATCACATAGCTTCTAAAAACATAGAGGGCGGGTGGGCGGGCCTAGTCTTTGCTAAGATAAGACTAATTTTGGCAAATGACATACTCTCTAAGAAAATACAGGGAGGTGGGCGGGACTAGTACTTGTTAAGATAAGACTGGACAATATTAGGAGTAGTCATAGCGGGACTACTGCTTGCTTATAAGATTCGTTAGAAAAAGCTAAATTCAGCTCCGC